GATGGGAGCGGAGAGCACCCTCGCAGAGAAGGGGGTCCTTGTTCTTATCTGGATGACGGGCTCGTCGCGTCGGTCAGCCAATTCCCTTTCCAGAGCACTGACTTTGTTCAGGAGCGCGTCGTAGTTGGGATGCTGGGATGTATGGGCCAATGCGCGCCCTGCGGCCTCCCGGGCCTCCATATCAGCGAGGCGCTTCTCTAAGCGGGCGATGATCTCATCCCTTGGGTCCGTGTTGGCCGCGCCGCCGCCCAGAGGGGTCTGGATCCGGGCCGCGTGGGCCAAGTTGATTTGGTGGCGCGCATCGTCATCATTCAGCTTCCCTTTGCCTTTGTCTGGTCGGGGCCGATCCGTTGTCCGGGAAACGGACCCGAAGCTTTCCTTAGGTGATCCTGGCTCGCGATCACCCAACCGACCCGCCACCCTTCCCGTAGGTACCCGACGGCTCGCGATGTCACCCAGCCTGTTGAAGGCTGAGATCTTACCGCGAGGTTGGGCCGGTGTATCCCGGGTAGGAGAGGCAGTATGGGAATGGGTGTCCACGGCGAGGACGCCTTCGTCGTTGCCGAAGAAGGTGACGCCCTGTGGCCGAGGCGGAGGTGGTGGCACCGTCGCGACCTCTCCAGTCACGGGAGTGTTGTTCTCCCCTGTCTTTGCGACGAGGGCGCTGACCACGTTGGGGTCCTGGAGAATGCTTGCGACGATGGCCGATAGTGCGGCCGGGTTGATCTGGGGGGCAGCAGGGTGAGAAGCCTGTTGGCCCGAAGCGCGATCAGCATTGCGCCTGTCCTCGAGCCCGATGCGGGCGTCTGGAGCAGTCTTGTTGAGCTGGAGGCGAAGGTCAGCCGTCGCGTGCTCGACCTCCTGAGCATTCTCATCCTGGATGATGAGATCATTGGGGACGTTGTCAGCAACGTTTCCCTGCCCTTCCTGATTCAAGGGGGCGTTCCTACCAGTGTTCTTTGACCTAGTTCTTGTCATAGCTAGTGGTAGTGTCTGGTAGCGACGAAGGGTACTCACTTGATCTGTCCTAAGCTCTCAATGAAAGCACCAAATGATGGAGTATTAATTCTAGAGAGAAGTGAGAGCTAGAGAGAGAAAGTGAGTAATTATATTTCTCAACCCCCTATAACTAGCCCCAAGGGGTCTATTTATAGGAAAAAATGTGGATTTGGGCCCCTAGCCATGGGCTTAGGAGGCCCATTACAATAATCATGCCTTCTTTGGGCGAAATAGGGCCACTAATGGGCTGTGTACAATACTTAGTAAATAAAGTAGAGAGATGTATTCTGCCAGGGCGGAGACTGGCCGATGCGGTGCACTTTGGCCGATGCTGGTCCCATGGCCGATGCGGTCCATGGGCCGATGCGGCCCCGGGAGTCCAGGTGCGCTCCCTGGGCCAGTTTGATTCGTAGCCGATGCGGACCCCCACTGGGCCGAAGGGGGCCACGTGGGTGGTGTTCTGGTCATCGTTGACTTGAGTATGTGGGTCATGGGGTCCAGGCCCGTATACTCTATCACTATATATATCCAAATGAATGATGTGGTTGTATGAAAAAATAGAAAAATAATAAAAAAATAGATGAAATAAGATGAATAAGCTTAACTTGTGCATATAATGAAAAATAAAATTGATAAAAAAAGGTAGAGAAAAGAGGATGAAGAAGGAAAGAGGAGGATGAAGAGAGAAGGGGGGAGAGAGAAGGGAGAGAGAATCGAGAGAAAAAAGGGAATGGGAAACGAGTTTTTTTTTGCTTTTATACAATGTACAACTCGTGTACGTGATGTGTACACTAATCATTTTTTATGAAAGTATTAGAGTAAGCATGTGTTAGCTATTCAGTTTTTAATATTTTCTTCAAGCGGTAAATTGTAATTTGTGGACTCAAATGATATACTCGTATGTAGTAATATATTGATATTCGGTTCTTGAATAATTGTAATGTTAAATCGCGCTTAAAGTTAATTTGTGGACCCACATGTCAAGGAACATTTTCTCAGGTAACGGTTACCTTTATGTCAGTCAAACATCATAAACCGCGTGAGAAGCTTTAAGCGGGATGGAGGGAGTAGTATTAAACATCGATCTGCCAGTTTTTACAATAAGTTTAAATTTAAGGAGAGATTCATATAATATGGAGTTATTAATTAATGTATATAATATGGAGTTATTAATTACAAAAATTGTCCTAAATAGGATCAGAGTAAAAACGTTTTGAAATTCTAAAATAGGAGTATCATGTTTTTTATTCTTTGAATATGAGTAATCTGCCAAATTTGGAAAAAAATGCCATGTTAAAACCCTTGTAATGCCAAACTTGGCAGAAATTTACACTTTTTCAGTGAATAAAAAACATGATACTCCTATTTTAAAATTTCAAAATGTTTTTACTCATATTTAGGGAACTCTCTCTATTAATTAATGTAGTAAAAGTAATGACTTTACTCCAATTATGTAAAAAACGAACAAATGCTAATTATATACAAATATTATTTATTAATATAAGTGTCGACTGATCTCACACCGGGCGTATTTAATTATACATGCACTATTTCTTACTAGAAATAATGACTCAAATAATACTATAGACTTCATGGACAAAAATAAGACTAGAAAATTGTAGGGACAAAAAAGAGATTAAATGGAATTAAAACACCCAAAATGCCCCCAGCCCTAACATCCATCGTTCCTTCTCCATTACGAAGGATTGTCCGCCTCCCCCTGCTTCTGCAAGCCTCCATGGCAATTGGCAGCAATGGTTTCTAAGTCCTGTTCCATTTCATCATGGATCTCTTCCGGATTCACGCTGCCTGCGCCTCGATTCTCATCATCACCGCCGCCATCTACGCTTCCGCCATCTCACGCCTTCACTTTTATATTTTCTTCTTCCGATCTGCTACGGCGACGAGCTACGCGATTTGGACTCTGCAACTTCTCCATTAAGACTTCTTGCGATCTTCGGTGGTGACGAGCTACACGAATAACTTCAATTGCGGCGGATATGCGTTTTGTTCGAGCTTCATCTATCGGCAAGGCGTTTCAGAGATCGACGACGAGCTAGCTTTGACTTCTGCTGACAATGGCCTCGGATTTGGCAACCTATTACGATCTATTTGGTGGCTGGGAGAACTGATTTTGAACGAAAGTGGTTGGGCAGACGGAAGGGAAGGGGCGGGGGTTGGGGAAGGGGCAGCTGACGGTGGTGGTTGTTGGCATATTACTGGGAGGGGGTGAAGGGATAGCAGCAAGCAGGAGTACGTTTGGGATGAGGTGTGGCGGCAGGTCGCCGGAGGCGGCGGCTTGCCGGCTGGGGCGGTGGAGGCTGAAGGTGGTCGTAGTGGTGAACCGGTGATCACTATTGGACCAGTTTTTCACTGGTCGGTCAACTGTAACTAGACGGCTCGGGTAACTATAACTGGACGGGTCGGGTAATTGTAACTGGACGGGGCGGGTAACTGTAACTGGACGGGTCGGATAACTGTACGTGTAACTGGACGGGTTGGATAATTGTAAGTGTAACTTGACGGATCAGATAACTATAACTAGACGGGTTGGATAACTGTAACTTGACGTGTCGGGTAACTGTAATTGATCGGATCGCGTAAATGTAATTAATTGAATAATTATAACTGGTAACTATAACTGGTCGGATCGAGTAACTGTAAATTATCGGATCGTGTAAATGTAATTAATTGAGTAACTGTTATTGGACGGGTTAGATAACTATAACTGGTTGGATCGAGTAATTGTAACTGATCGGATCGCGTGAATGTAATTAATTTAATAATTATAACTGGTAATTGGAACTGATCGGATCGAGTAACTGTAACTTATCGGATCGCGTAAATGTAATTAATTGAGTAACTGTAACCGGTCAGGTCCGGTGATTGTAACAAATGAGGTCGGGTAATTGTAACTGGTTGAGTCGGATATTTGTAACTGACGTCCAATAATGTAAATGGTCATCAAATAACAGAAATTTCAGATATATGAAAATCATCCAATTTGTTTTTTAAATTTCGAAGTTGATGACTTGCTGTAGCATTTTAGAAACATGGAAATGGGCTGTGATTTACCCCATATAAGGAAGAGGCGGAGAATTCATTAGTTGCAAGGGTATTTTTGACAATTCCTCCTATTTTTTTAAACGATTGGTCTCTTTATTGGCATTTACTTAAAGATGTGTTAGATTTGTCAAAATCGTTTTAATTAGTCCTATCTATGACCTAACCCCGCTAGCGTTTTTTTAAGTTTCCTCAAATTCATTAAAGTTATCGTCATTCAGTAAAATGCATAAACGATACATTAATTTTTCATAGGTAGCTAGATTATATGGTACCCAAAAGGTACCATACCTTTGTCTACATGGACCAATCAAAATGATGCAATTGAATTATTTAAATCTAAATTTTAAAGAATATAATGATTTGGACCAATCAAATACATGATAGGTACGGTACCCCATTTTTTAAATGGGTACCGGAGTTGTCACCTTTTTCATATCGTTAGGTTTAGCATATTAACTCTTAAATAAAACAAATCACTACCATCATTACAATTTTTTCTTCAAACTGCTTTTCCAAAGCTTTTACCATGTAAGTTTGACATTTGGTTTTGTATGAAGAATAATGCTTTGTCTTTAGCAAAGTTACAATAAACAATGTGTATTTACTTTTTCTTCTATTTTATAATGTAATTGTGTATGTTTATAAATATATTGTAAGTTACTCTTTAATTTCATTTCATTCATTTTGTTAAATAAATGTACGTTTTAACTCTTTTTTAATAAGTATGTTGGGATATATTATCCCGGCCTATTACTGTTCAGGAGCCCAAGACTTTACGTAGTACGGAGCCCAATCAGTAAGGCCCATTTTAGCCTATCGGGCCTGTTTCGGCCTTTGGGCCCATTTTGGCCCATTCGGCCCGTTAGGGTGGAGAGCCCCCTTTCCCCCTATTCCCTATAAATAGGAGGTTTCCCTCCATGTAAAAGGATCCCCTTTTAGCTTCTTATTCTTCCTTCTTAGTTAGCTTACAAGACTCCATTAATGGGAGCTCAAAATGTACGATGTAATGGTGAGGAGAGACTAATGAAAATGAGAGGGCTTGGACATTAGCCTAAAAAGTCCCGTGGTTTTCTCCCTTTCGGGTTTCCACGTAAAAACTGAGTTGTTCATACACATTTATACATATATTTACTATATCGTGTTGGACAAAACTCAACACTGGCGCCGTCTGTGGGAATCTGTCCAAAAAGATTCATGTATTCTGCTGTTCTTGAGTTTCTACGGGAAGAAATCCGTACGAAGTGGACCGATTCCAGGAAAAAGAAGAAACTGCTGATTTGGACGGGAAGAAGAGGAAAAATGAGAATCCGGGAAGATCTGGCAGCCTGGATCTTGCTCTGTTTTGCTGCCGCCGCCGGAGCATCGCCGCCGCCGGAGCATCACCACACCGCCATCGTCATCGCCGGTCAACTGCAGGTCACTCCCTCACCTGGCCGGTCGCCGTTCGAGCTTCCACGACTCGGCCGACGCGACCTGCGGGATATGCCGGCGGAGAGGTCATTTAGTTCCGCCATTAATGGTGACTCCGAGCTCAGAAGAGTCGGGGACATGTTCGTCCATCCGCCTCTCCGAAAAGATGCTCTCTGCTTGGATGGAAGCTGACCACGTCGAAGGACAAGGAAGGGGTGCAGAACACCTTGTATTATTGGGATGCTCAACAAGCTGATGCAGACCCCTGCCAGCTGGTGTGCTTCGGCCGAGCTGCTAAAGGAATGGGGCTAAGTCCCCACATGATTTCATTCGTCTCCAAGAGCTAAGTGCCCTTATTCCCTCATTTACTAGTTACTCCGTATTAGAGTATTGGGATAATGAAGCATGATTATTTATTGCTAATAATTTGCATCACCATTATTCATTAGGGGTTGAAAATCCCGGAAATTAAATAATGTCGAGTGATGCTATTACCAAAAAAAAAAAAATGTCGAGTGATGCTCTTGTGATAATTAATTTCACCATCATTTTAATTAATGACTGGTTGTTGTGGGCCCGTCGGTCCGCTCCTGATCGGCTTTAATTAGCGAACGGAACATACTTGAATGGCCTTTCATAGGATAAAATCAGTATTATTGCCTGTTACATCACTATTATTTATTAGGGATAAAATGTCCTGAATTAAATAATGTGGAGCGAAGCTCTGGTGATGGTTGGTTCAGCCAACATTTTATTGAATATTTAATTGTTGGTGGGCCCGATTAGCCCACCCTCGATCGGCTTTGATTAAGCGATCCGAGCGTCTCTAGAGGGTAGTGCCCCGATGACGCGTTTTAATTTGGGGGTTACGCATTAGTCCGCACGGCACCAAGTGCCCGATCGACGATCATACCCCAATGTAATCCGCGCCGCTAGGCGCGAAGTGACTATTGCCAAACGTGGCCTATGGGGCCCAAGGGCACCAAAGCACTCAACCTCGTTTTTCCGAGGGCAGTGCGACTAACTTGGGTCTGAGTTGAAAACTCACAGACCGGTGAATATCTCTATGTGACGTTCGGCGGGCTGCTAATTGGCCCCGCCGCGAGTTGCTACGTCCATTAACCCCGCACGATGAGCCGGGCCGAGGGTCACGATAACCCATAGGCCGGTAATCGTAGGTGTTAGAGAGAAAGCCACGCAGATGGCTATGTATATATACTGTCGGGCTGTGCGGCCCGTTATCATGCTTATTGCGCAGCTGAAGCCGCTCGACGCGCTCTAGCGAAATGATTAAAAGACGCTCGGCCCGAGTCTTGAAGACGTTCAGGGCCAGCTAAAGAGGAGACCATCACGGCTGAGAGCCAAGAGACGAGCATCTCCACCTCAGAGACCGATGGCCTAGGAAGAACACCTAGAGGCCGAGGGTCTAGAGGGAACTGCCACGACGAAGAACCGTGAGACGATCATCCATCATTCGGAGGCCGAAGGCCTAAAGGAGACCGTCACGGCCGAGGGCCAACTGACACAATCATATCACGACCGGCCTCTCGGCACGGCGTGATTATCATCTTTTAAGACCGGCCTCGTCCCCGAGCTGCGTGGAGGAGGACCGTTGCTGGATTTTAGGTCGGCCTCTCATTGCCGACATCATCATATCACGACCGGCCTCTCGGCACGGCGTGATTATCTTATTTGAAGACCAGCCTCGTCCCCGCGCTGCGCGGACGAAGACCGTTGCTGGATTTCTTTCTGATCGGCCTCTCATTGCCGACATCACTATATCACGACCGGCCTCTCGGCACGGCGTGATTACCATCTTTTGAAGACCGGCCTCGTCCCCGCACTGCGCAGACGAGGACCGTTGCTGGATTCTTTCAGGTCGGCCTCTCATTGCCGACGTCATTATATCACGACCGGCCTCTCAGCACGGCGTGTTTATCTTTTGAAGACCGGCCTCGCCCCCGCGCTGCGCGGATGAGGACCGTTGCTTGATTTCAGGTCGGCCTCTCATTGCCGACATCATTATATCACGACCGGCCTCTCGGCACGGCGTGTTTATCTTTTGAAGACCGGCCTCGTCCCCGCGCTGCGCGGATGAGGACCGTTGCTTGATCTTAGGTCGGCCTCTCATTGCCGACATCATTATATCACGACCGGCCTCTCGGCACGGTGTGTTTATCTTTTGAAGACCGGCCTCATCCCCGCGCTGCGCGGATGAGAGCCGTTGCTGGATTGCAGGTCGGCCCCTCAGTGCCGACACTATCACATCATGCTCGGCCTCTCATCGCCGACATCATCATACCACGACCGGCCTCTCGGCTCGGTGTGCTTATCTTTTGAAGACCGGCCTCGTCCCCGCCACCTCGCGGATGAGGACCGTTGTTTGATTCTTTCAGGTCGGCCTCTCACTGCCGACACTATCATGTTATGTTCGGCCTCTCGGCACGACATATTTATCTTTTGAAGACCGGTTTCATCCCCGCGTTGCGTTGGATGAGAGCTGTTGCTCGGATATATCGGCCTGACCGGACACTATTGCCATCTCCATTATCAGGACCGACTGCTCAGCGACATTATGATCATTGTATATCGGCTCCCAATGCCGACCTTTTTGAGTTAGCGATCGGGCTCACCCATCCCTTCAGGAGGGTGACCATCGCCTTCGCATGACGACCAGCGTCTCCATCGCCTCGTCATTATATTCGTTCGCTATGCCACCACCATTATGTGTGACATCCCGGGATCCCTGCGAGTTTCTTGGATACCGAATGTCTTCTTCGATGTAGGAAGATCGGTAGGACCACAGACCAGGGACGGACTAAGAAGAGCTAGGGAATCTCGATGCAGATAAACCTGTTCATCCTTGCGATGTCGGCGGACACCGAACGTCTCCTCGAAGTAGGGACGCCGGTGGGACCAGGGACCAAGGACGAACGAAGCACCAGGGAATCTCGATGCAGATAAACCTGTTCCTCATTGAGATGTCGGCGGATACCGGACGTCTCCTCGAAGTAGGAACGCCGGTAGGACCAGGGACCAATGAGGAACGAAGAGTATGGATTGCCTCCACCAAAAAAAAAAAAAAAAAAAAAAAAAAAAAAAAGGGGAGAAGAGGAGAGGAGCTCCTATGTAGAAGGGAATCTTGCCCGGGTGTGCCAGATCTTCTCCAACCGCCGAAGACGAACGCCTCTCGGTGTAGAGGTTAGTAGAGACGCGGAGGGGGCTAGACGAACCAAGGGAGCCTGCCAAGATAAACCTGTTTATCCCACAAACGACCATGGATCGATGGACGTGGGGTAACAAAGTCGGGGACCCGTGAGGGTAGACCTGTTCGTCCCTGCGAGTCCTTGGGTACCGAACGTCCTCTTCGAAGCAAGAGACGTCGGTAAGGCTAAAAGGACCACGGACGAACGAAAAGAGGGGGGGATCTCGATGTAGATAAACCTGTTCATCCTTGCGATGTCGGCGGACACCGAACGTCTCCTCGAAGTAGGGACGCCGGTGGGACCAGGGACCAAGGACGAACGAAGACTAAAAGACTCCAAAAAAAAAAAAAAAAAAAAAAAAAAAAGATGCCAGAAGAGCACGGAGCAAAGAATGATTTTATCCCTCGGCGCTATTGGCTGGGAAGTACAAACTGAAAAACATATGTAAAGAATAATTACAAAACTTAAGCACGAAGAATGAAGTGGCCGACGACGATCGGCTAACATCAGGTTTTCTTTTGCCTTGGACGACGAATACCAGCTCCCCAGATCAGACGGAGGAACATTGCCCAGATTTATTTCAGGCTCACCGTTCCTTCCTGGATGGAGTCCTGGCAGACGATCGGCTTCTCACAGCCAATCAGGATAGAGACTTGACACATCACCAGCACGGCCGAGGGCCGCGAGACGATTACCACCCACGATTTATCACTATTTTTATGCATCACGATCGGCCCCCTCAGCGCCATCGTGTCCAGACTCACGGTTCGGCTCGCCCATTCCTTCCAGGATGGCGACGACCGTCTTATGCAGCACGATCGGCTTCTCAGCGCCATCGTGTCTCTTTCACGTTCGGATCGCCCCATTCCCTCCAGGATGGCGACGAACGTCTTAGGCAGTGCGATCGGCCCCTCGGCGCCATCGTACTTGGCTTCACGGTTCGGCTCGCCCATTCCCTCCAGGATGGCGACGACCGTCTTATGCAGCACGATCGGCTTCTCAGCGCCATCGTGTCTCTTTCACGTTCGGATCGCCCCATTCCCTCCAGGATGGCGACGAAGGTCTTATGCAGTGCGATCGGCCCCTCAGCGCCATCGTACCTGGCTTCACGGTTCGGCTCGCCCATACCCTCCAGGATGGCGACGAACGTCTTATGCATCACGATCGGCTTCTCAGCGCCATCGTGCCTCTTTCACGTTCGGATCGCCCCATTCCCTCCAGGATGGCGACGAACGTCTTATGCAGTGCGATCGGCCCCTCAGCGCCATCGTACCTGGCTTCACGGTTCGGCTCGCCCATACCCTCCAGGATGGCGACGACCGTCTTATGCAGCACGATCGGCTTCTCAGCGCCATCGTGTCTCTTTCACGTTCGGGTCGCCCACTCCTTCCAGGATGGCGGCGAACGTCTCTTATGCAGCACGATCAGCGCCCCAGCGCCATCGTGTCTGGCTCACGTTAGGGTCGCCCATCCCTTCCAGGATGGCGACGAACGTCTCTTATGCAGCACGATCAGCGCCCCAGCGCCATCGTGTCTGGCTCACGTTAGGGTCGCCCATCCCTTCCAGGATGGCGACGAACGTCTCTTATGCAGCACGATCAGCGCCCCAGCGCCATCGTGTCTGGCTCACGTTAGGGTCGCCCATCCCTTCCAGGATGGCGACGAACGTCTCTTATGCAGCACGATCAGCGCCCCAGCGCCATCGTGTCTGGCTCACGTTAGGGTCGCCCATCCCTTCCAGGATGGCGACGAACGTCTCTTATGCAGCACGATCAGCGCCCCAGCGCCATCGTGTCTGGCTCACGTTAGGGTCGCCCATCCCTTCCAGGATGGCGACGAACGTCTCTTATGCAGCACGATCAGCGCCCCAGCACCATCGTGTCTGGCTCACGTTAGGTTCGCCCATCCCTTTCAGGATGGCGACGAACGTCTCTTATGCAGCACGATCAGCGCCCCAGCGCCATCGTGTCTGGCTCACGTTAGGGTCGCCCATCCCTTTCAGGATGGCGACGAACGTCTTTTATGCAGCACGTCTGCCTCTCGGCGCTGACATGCCCGGGTTATCGTTGAGAGCTACCGCTCCTATCACATCTTGCATTCCCTCTCTCATACATTGCACCCATACATTGCACCCATACATTACATGCATTCATGCATCATACCTCATACATTCATACATACACACGTGCATCATGTTTTGACAGTACCGCGACGTCGGTTTATAGATGCATGGACCTCTAAGCTTCTCCGTTGGAAAGCTCGAGTCAGAGTCCTTTACTCTCGCCTGATGCATTCAGGGGGAGCGTGCCCGTGGAGGAGCACCCTTCGCCCGACCCCGTCGGGAACGGAGGTGCCTCACCGGCAGATTACGTTCAGGAGTGTGGACATCCACTCATATATTATGATTATTCGAAGACACAGGTTCCAGCTAGATCGAGGTAAAGCGTAGGCAAGAGTATATTTTCTCGAGCAGATTCGCACGCTCACTACTCAAGAAACTGGGGGACTTGTGTTGGGATATATTATCCCGGCCTATTACTGTTCAGGAGCCCAAGACTTTACGTAGTACGGAGCCCAATCAGTAAGGCCCATTTTAGCCTATCGGGCCTGTTTCGGCCTTTGGGCCCATTTTGGCCCATTCGGCCCGTTAGGGTGGAGAGCCCCCTTTCCCCCTATTCCCTATAAATAGGAGGTTTCCCTCCATGTAAAAGGATCCCCTTTTAGCTTCTTATCCTTCCTTCTTAGTTAGCTTACAAGACTCCATTAATGGGAGCTCAAAATGTACGATGTAATGGTGAGGAGAGACTAATGAAAATGAGAGGGCTTGGACATTAGCCTAAAAAGTCCCGTGGTTTTCTCCCTTTCGGGTTTCCACGTAAAAACTGAGTTGTTCATACACATTTATACATATATTTACTATATCGTGTTGGACAAAACTCAACAAAGTATTAGAGCAAATATTATAGAAAAAAAGTACGTACTAGAGCAATAATATACTCCAATCCGTTCATCCCAAAATTAAATATATGGTTTGACTTCAAAGATTTTTAGGTAGAAAAGTTAATTTGGTTGACTTTCCAATCATGTAAAAACGAACAATATAGGACTTAAACGAACCAATATACATGCCGACTGATCTCACAACGGGCGTATGCATGTTGAATGATAAATTCGCTAGCTTTTTGCAGTCTTCTTATTTAATTATCTACTTTGTAAACGTTTGTGTTTGCTTGGCTGGAAAGGAAAGCCCTTTATTCAAGTTTCCTCAAATTATTTAAAGTTATCCCCATTGACTAAAATGTGTTTGATCTTAACGTACTATCGATATTGATGTGTTTAGTATCTTAACTTTTAAATTAAACAAATCAGTATCATACTTATAAGTAAATATTTCATTTATCAATGATACGTTTTATTCTAAAAATAAGGCTTATTTGATCATGTTAAAGGTTTAAAACATTGAAGATTTCTATTATATTCAACAATTTGATGATATTCTTTTTTATATTTTCACATTAACTTAGTAAATTAAAGATGACATTTATCTCGTACGTCATCATTTTGCTATATTTTTTCTTAGTCGTGTTGCACTGTTTGTGTAATTGTGAATTTTAGTACTACATATGCAATTTCTTGTATTTATATCAACATTTCATGTGAGTTGGTTGGTGTGAAGGTATCTACTAATTGCAAGATTTGTTCAAAAATTTTAGCATGTGTTTGGCATTGTACCGTACCGTTTTGTACCGTTCCGAAACGGCATGGTACCGAACGGTTCCACCCTTGAAACCGGACCGGACCGGACCGTTAAAAACCTAATGGATACATTACGGGTTTTACTAGTTTACCGGACCGTTCCGGACCGCGCCCACCCCTAGTTTTTAACTTTAATTGTAATTACTTGTATTTAAAAGAAAAAGAAAAATAAAGCATAAATAGGACCATATTATTTATCTTTCCAAAATAGGATTAAAGTATACTCTATCTTCCTATATTCTACTTTTAGCATAACTTAATAGATTAATCATATTTAAATTTGTAATAAAAAAATTTCAACAACAAAAAATCGAAAAAAATAAAAATAAAATCAAAATGTTATGAATTTTATTTAAAATTTATTTTCGTGTTTTTTATATGTTTTTTACATTTTTATTTTTGAAGGGAGTCAGCCTTTCCCCCTCTCCCCGTTGTAAATGATCCCGGCGGAAACTTCGGACCAAAAAACATAAAGAAAGGGTAGAATTGAAAAACTAGTACAGACACCTAGGCGCCCTACGGCAAACTAATAATAATAATAATTATTATTATGATTATTAATACTCCGTATTATGATTATTATTGAGGTGATTATTATTATTATTATTATTATTATTATTATTATTATTATTATTATTATTATTATTATTATTATTATTATTATTATTATTATTATTATTATTATTATTATTATTATTATTATTATTATTATTATTATTATTATTATTATTATTATTATTATTATTATTATTATTATTATTATTATTATTAGTTAGTACTACGTACTTCATATGTTTGTTATTATTATTCTTACTATAATAATAAAAAACCAACAATAATACTAATAGTAGTAATAATAATTATTGTAATTGCTCTTGACTTTGGGTAGGCTGGGGTAATGTTACAACAGTCAAACTTCAAAATGCTCACCAAGACATTCTATGTTTTAGGTGTCATATTTTCCATATGTTGACACCTGGCTCCGCCTATGCGTGCACCTGCTATATACTTCCTCCGTTCCTTTTTAATTGCAACAGTCAACATTTCACGTTTGCCAACGCCCAAGTTTGACCATAAATATCTTTCATTCCTTATTAGTAAAAAAATTAAAAAAATCATATTTTGAAAATTTAGAATAAGAAGAATTTAACAATATTTTTTAAAAATTTAATTTATTATACATCAATTAATAAAATGTAGTCAAAGTAGAACATATGAATAGTGCAAAAAGTCCAATGTTGCAATTAAAAGAGAACGGAGGTAGTATATATTTGATTTGATAGCGAGCTAATTAATTAATTAGGTAGGGAAGAAGCTAAGATAAGCGGCGCGCTACGATGGAAATGAAAAAATGTGGCAAAGTGTTGCGGGATGATCAAGTTCATTCCAGCAGCAGCAGCAGCTTGCTGCAGCTTCTTTTGCTTGCCGCCGCCTTCCCTGTGAGCACGATGGCGGGCGACATTTATCTGACCGATCATGATGTTAATGTAATGATGGATCTGAAGGACCATCTTACGTTCTCGAATAAGTCAGTATGGGCTGATCATGATCCGTGCAACTGGGTGGGTGTGGGATGTGAAATAGTCACTACACCGGACGAGACAAATTTGGCCATTCATTGGATCGACATTTCGGGTATGAATGTCAGCGGGAGACTGCCGGCAAGCCTGGGAAACCTCACCCAGTTGTTTTCGTTCGAAGCGAGCTACAACAGCCTCACCGGCCCACTTCCGGACTTTGCCGGGACGCCAGAACTCTCTACGCTCGCCGTTGACCACAACCGGTTCACTTCAATCCCGCCAACTCTGTTTTTCAACAAGACTAAACTGCAGATCGTTTATCTAGACTACAACTTTTTTCTTGGGCCATGGGAGATTCCTCAAGACCTGAGATTCTATTTGGACCTCATGAATTTCTCCGCCGTCAATTGCAACATTCACGGGGACTTCCCCAGCTTCTTCAACGGCGACAATTTCCCCACCTTAGTGCACCTTCACTTGGCGCATAACCATTTATCCGGCCAACTCCCTCCCATCCTGCCCCTATCTTTGGTCTCTCTGTGGCTAAATAACCAAACCCGGACCGACGGCAGCTCATCATTGTCCGGCACCATCTCCGCTATACAGAACCTCACATTGATGACCCAACTTTACCTGCACGGCAACAATTTTTCAGGCCAAATACCCGACGTGTCCGGCCTCCGACGGTTGACGGAATTCACCGTCAGCTATAACAGTCTTACCGGTCCAGTGCCCAAGTCATTGGCAGGAATCTCTTCACTCAAAGAAGTCAATCTCTCTAACAATAACCTGAATGGCACCGTCCCTCATTTTAATGACACTGTCATAGTGATTACATGTGGGAATCCACGTTTAGCTGACCAAAAAGGGCTTCCATGCTAGCTACCTACCTACGCTGCAGATTTATCCGTGGTTGATATATAATTAATGCTTCTGTGTTCCGGCCTTCGTTTGTTTTAATTTGAAGCTTAATTTCTTGTCATTGCGTTTCTCTCTGTTTCTTTTTCTTTTCAATCTACTTACTTAATACTCCCTCTGTCCCTAAATTTACTTCCATTTCGCTTTTCGAGAGTCAACTTAAATCACTCTTAAACTCTTACTTTTTGTATCAAAACTTTATGAAAATTGTTTTTTTTTGTGCAGGCTTTGTAGCGGGTTTAATGTAGTTTCTGAATATGTAAATTTTATTTACTAAAAATAATCCGAGTTTTCACAGGGATCATTTAACTTTATCGTCGGTCAACCTTCGTAATCCGCAATCGGAACAACATTTAGGGACGGAGGGAGTAATAAAGTACAACCTTCTAAGTGAAATTGAATTTTGTATGAAGAATAATGCTTTGTCTTTAGCAAAGTTACAATAAACAATGTATATTTACTTTTTCTTCTATTTTATAATGTAATTGTGTGTGTTTATAAATATATTGTAAGTTACTCTTTAATTTCATTTCATTCATTTTGTTAAATAAATGTACGTTTTAACTCTTTTTTAATAAGTACTAGAGCAAATCTATAGATAATACAATTCAAAGATACAATAATTAGGGAAAGTTTTGACATGTGTCATCTTCTCATCAAACCTTCATTATAATATCTTAGATCCTCTTTCCAATTTAGGGAATAATATATTAATTATACTAGGGTACGTTACAATAATGTTACATGGGTATTCAAGTTAGATTAGAAGTATTTAACGTTAATTTAGATTAATCTATACGGTTGGAATCCTAAAACTTCCTAGAGTTGTGCAACTCAAAAAATAAAATCCCATATTTTTTAAAAATCCTATAACTTTTTAAGTTGTATTCTGATTATTACAAAAACTATATCAAAATTCGTAACTTTTTATTATCTTTCATATGACACCAATATTGAATATATAAAAATAAAAAATAATTTAACACCTTAAAATAGTTACTTTACTGCATATATACTCTGTAGTATTACCGAGTATTAGATTTTTTGTTACAAAACATTGAATGGTAGAAGTTAAACTTGACTCAAATTCGGTATTTAAAATACGTAGTACTTCGTATGTCTTTTCTTAAATACTGTCTCCGTTCTCCATACATGTTCTCCTTTCCATTTTGAGTTGTTCTATAATGATTGTCTCTCTTTTCATTTTTTGAAAATTTTTCAATAAAATACACATATACTCTCATTCTTTTTCCTACTTTTTTATTTAAACACAACACACTACACCTTTTATATTATTCTCTAGATCTCTGTCAGCTCTTCTGACTCTCTTGTCCAACAAGTTTATGCCCGATTTCATGGTTTTCTTTTCTGCCTCCCTATTTAATTTGATTGAACAACTCAGGAATCTCCACTTGGCTATATACGCTGATTGAGTTCACTACTATGCCTATATTTTCTATGGATTTGTTTGAACAAGTATCTTTGGTTGAACCACCACTGAATGTTAAGGCCTTTCCTTCACAAGCAGACATGAGGCGCATAGGAGTTGATGGTTCTCCCACCTCACCAGAGAAGTGAGCTCTTGCATCAGCATAAGGAGTCCTGAACTTCTGAGGCTTGAGATGTGGGTGAAGGATCCATCACTTGTCCTTGCCATGGCCCTTCTTCTTGCAGTGATCACACACCCACACTTTCTTATCTTCTGGTTTGTAAGAGCCCTTGTTTGCTACAAACTCAGCTTCGCCTTCTGCTCCTTCTGCTTGGTTAGTCATGACAAGTGCCCCTTTTCCTCCAAAGAGACCCACTGAACCTTGCTCTTTTTGAATCTGAGAGCACACATCATCTAGTGATGGTAACTCATTACTCCTTAGGATGTGCTTGATTAGGTCACCATAGTTTGGATTGAGAGTAAACAACAAAGCAAAGACCTTGTCTTGTTCCCTCCTTTCATTGAGCACATTTGGATCAACAGTTGCTGGTCTCAGCATCTCTAGCTCAGCCCACAAGGATCTTGTAACACTTGAGATTTAATATAAACGGATTAATAATACTACTCATACCAACAGAGGTGCATCTCCTTTTAAGGAAGCTCATTACCTAAGAACTCCAAAGTTAAGCGTGCTTGCTCGGGAGTAGTCTTGGGATGGGTGACCCCCTGGGAAGTTTCTCAGGGCGCGCATGAGTGAGGACAAAGTGCGCGGTAAAGGCTCGTGGTGGTTTGTGAGGACAGTACTATTGGTCCGGAGTAACTACCTCGGGGCCTACGGGGCCGGGGTGTTACAGGTGGTATCAGAGCAACCCTGCGACAGTGTGTTGACCCGTTGGATATCGGGCGGGCACTTAGTGGGGGAAGATTCTGGGATTTGATTGAGATTTGAGATTGGTTTATGGGCGCAACGAGGACGTTGCGTTCCTAAGTGGGGGTGATTGTAACACTTGAGATTTAATATAAACGGATTAATAATACTACTCATACCAACAGAGGTGCATCTCCTTTTAAGGAAGCTCATTACCTAAGAACTCCAAAGTTAAGCGTGCTTGCTCGGGAGTAGTCTTGGGATGGGTGACCCCCTGGGAAGTTTCTCAGGGCGCGCATGAGTGAGGACAAAGTGCGCGGTAAAGGCTCGTGGTGGTTTGTGAGGACAGTACTATTGGTCCGGAGTAACTACCTCGGGGCCGGGGTGTTACAGATCTGAACTTCCCAAAGTGTCTATCAAAATCTGTGTCCTCTTGACTAAGAGTGTTGATAGTTTTCTTGACTTCAAACACTCTACTGATGTTAGACTTGTTTCCATACACTTTATGAAGTGTATCCCACAGCTCCTTGGAAGTTTCACAGTAGGAGTAAGCTTCCTGGATAGAGGCTTCAAGACTGTGCTGGAGAATGGTCAACACCATGAGGTCCTCCTGTCCTTTCTTCTTATCACCACCATTAGCTACCACCATTTCTTTGTCATCCTCTCCTTGGAAGGTCTTCTTTGTTGGGTTCCTTCCTTCTTCAACAATTTCCCAGAGTCCTCTGCCTTCAAGAGCTGTTTTAGCAAGCCTTGCCCACAGTAGATAGTTAGCTCCCTTAAGAGTAGTTGGAATCACTACCATTTTTGAGTTTCCTGCCAGATCCATCAAGAACAGCTTAAAAACAGTGTGAGAAAGAAATTTTGAAAAAGTAAATCAGAGTAGCTTGCGGAATTTTAGAGAGAATGTAAGAAAAAAAAGGTTAGAGAATTAGGTTTCATGAGCAATTTTTTGCTCTGATACCATGAAATTTTGTGTGAACAAAAGAGAGATTAAGTGAGAAACATGGAGAATGGGAGAGAGAGAGAGAGAGAGTAGAAATGAGGAACTCAATCCCCTTAGAATTTCATCATGCTGAACCAATACATAAATAGACTAAACAAATACCCTAGGGAAATATTAAACAAGTAAAGAACCCAGAATATGATTAAACAAATGCAATAGAGTCCAAACTGTCCCAGCTGTCTTGGATCAGAGAGAGAAGGACATGTCCCAATGGTCCACACCACTTGCAGCTCTGTCTCCACATGTGAACAAGTTCCCAAACGGTAACATTGTCTTAGGCAAGTAGTAAACAGCTCTTCCTTGCTTAATCTGGATCTACTTGCTTCCACTTCCTCATATTGTTTCACCTCACACTCCTTACACTTGCTGCTATTTATTTCTTCATGTCAACAGTTAGGACGGAGGGTCTGGATCAGACCGACCTTGATGGAGTTGAATCGTAGTCTCACGTTCCCGGCCGTTTTCTGGCCTGCCCCAACGTTTGGAGACTTTGTGGCTGAGTAACCAAACCGGGACCGCCGGCTCAGGTTTGTCCGGCAGCATCTCCGGTATACAGAACTTGAGCCACATTACACAACTCTACCTCCACCGGAACAAATTTTCCAGGGAAATACCCGAGGTGTCCAGCCTCAAGTCAATGACGGAATTCATCGTCCGTGATAATAATCTTACCGGTCCGGTGTCGGAGTCTTTGGCAGGAATCCCTACACTCATAGAAGTGGATCTGTCCAACAATAACCTGAATGGATCAGTCCCTAATTTCAAAATAAATGTGACTACATGTGGAAATCCAGGTTTAGGGAAAAGAGGGCGTCCATGCTAGCTAGCTAGGTACTAGTGATCAAAGATGGGCATTTGAAGATGATCGATCCATGGTTTGGTTGATCATATACTACGTATTATGTTTTTGTGTTCGTTCCTTTGTTTTATTTAATTTTAGTGTCTCATGTAATGGTCGATGTCTCTCTCTTTCAATTAAAGTATTACTGTATTAGAGTAATTAGGGGTGGGCATAAAAACCGCACCGAACCAGTACCGAACCGGCCCGTAATGGTACCGAACCGAATATCGGGTATTTAAATGGTTCTATAAAATTTTATCCCGAACCTAAACCGTACCGTTTCAAACGGGTACGGGACCGGTCCCAAGTATAAAATTATTAAATTTCGCATTAACATATACACATAGTATTAGTTAAAATAATTTGTCAAAGTTTATCATCTTTATTTGATTGGAAAAGTAAAAATGGCTAACTAAAAAGAACCAGAGTACTATTAATTAGACATAATCACAATTGTTTTCCTCCGAATGGTTTTCAATCGAGATAGACATTTTATTTTGTGTGAAAAGTACTGCTAATTTGTAGAAGCACAAAGTCATGGGTAAAAATAGCTAGACAATGTCAATTATACGTAGTTTATACAGGGCGTTTATAGTTAATTTTTCTTCTGCTTTATGATAATATCATTTGATTGCGTATGTGTATGCGTACCAATGTATTGCTTGACTTTTGCTTCTACTTTAATCACTCCCTCCGTCCCGGAAATAAGTTCTCACTTTCCTTATTTGGATGACCCAAAATGAACTCCTCATTTCCTTATTTGGCAAATTATCTACATCAAAATAGTGTAAAACAATGTCAAACAGTGTCAAACAATGTCAAAACAGTAAAATTTACCCTTCAATAACTTTATTTCCTTAAAATGTGTGAAAGTCAACCCGGGAACTTGTTCCCGGGACAGAGGAAGTACCTGCGTGAGTGTCATCGGTGTATACATATACACTGCCCCGTTGAAATTGCTTTACAAAGTCAATATTTTTTTGTTAAATAATATTAACGTTAAATGCATTGATAGTTAATTAAATTTTAATAATTAAAATTTATGTATTGAGAAACTACATTAAAATATATACTCCAAAGTTACGAAATTCAAAGTAAAATTAGTCTGGAAATTCAATTTTGCACCTCAATTTGGGGAGAATGCATCTATAAAAGCCATGTTAGATAGGCCGGCCATGCCAAGAGCTTACTCCTATAGAAGTAGGTACGTTCGTACTAGGTAGCTGCGAGTACATGATCGATCGGCAGATCAGATAGAGCATCCGGCTGAGATCAGCTGATATGATGATGGAAAGGAAGAAATCGTCCGATCAAGTCATGGCGGCCGGCAGCTTGCTTCTTTTGTTTGCAGCCGCCTTTGCGGCGGGTCAGAGTCTGGACGGCCTTGAATACATTGTAATGATTCAGCTGAAGGCAAGTATTACATTCCCGAGCACAGACGCATGGACCGAAGCCGATCCGTGCGACTGGCTCCGTGTGACGTGTGCCGCTCCAACAACGCACCCCGAGCACAAATTTGTTACCTCTATCGATATTTCTGATTCGAATATCAACGGGACTCTGCCCGGAAGTCTGGGAGTCCTCTCCCAGATGTTAGGCTTCGGAGCCGCCAACAACCGCCTCACCGGCCCACTTCCGGACTTCGCCAATTGCTCAAATCTCGGGATGCTCGACGTCTCCCACAACGGCTTCACTTCAATCCCGCCAACTCTGTTTCGCAACAAGCCTTCCCTCTGGTCAGTTACTCTAGACTACAACCTTTTGCTTCAGCCCTGGGAGATTCCTGAAGATCTGAGCTCCTGTTCACACCTCTTCAGTTTCACCGCCACCAGTTGCAACGTTCACGGGGACTTACCCAGCTTCTACAACAACCACACTTTCTCCGACTTAAAGGACCTCCAATTGGGGAACAACCATTTATCCGGGCATCTCCCTCCCAGCCTGCCCGAATCTTTGGAGACTCTGTACCTGAACGACAACAATTTGTCCGGCGGAATACCGGACGTGTCCCGCCTCCGGTCATTGACGGCATTCATCGTCAGCCAAAACAGTGTTACGGGTCCGGTGCCGGAATCATTGGCAGGAATCTCCTCACTCCAGGAAGTGGATCTGTCCAACAATCATCTCAATGGCTCTGTCCCTGTTTTTAAACAAACAAATGTGACAGTGCTTACATGTGGGAATTCAGGTTTAGGGGAAAAAGGGCTTCCTTGCTGATCGAAAGCTGGGCATGCTGAAGGAAGATGATCCATCCATGGACCATGGGCTGGTTGATCATATACTTGTATAATGTTTCTGTGTTCTTCCGTTTGTTTCAATCCGAAGGTTTCGATCTTTTCCGTACGTGCTTAATTAATTTTAGAGAAAATTATCTCTCTTTCTTTGAGAAACTCTCTTAGTATCTCATCTGATGCTCGGTGGGTCTCTCTTTTTGTTGTTTTCACATTTTAATTAAAGTATTGAGTAATTAATCATGTGCTTGTAGATATTTAAAATTAATGGACCAATTTTGATTATCATCCAGCTGTGAAAATAATGGAAAGGCATACCCAATATGGTAGCCTTGTCATATATATATATATATATAGAGTAATCTTCCGGTCAGGTATACTTGACCGGAGCCGCCGTCCGGTCAAGTTAATACATATTCCGGACCAGTTAACTTGCAAAAATCATTTGACGACCTTCCCGATTGAATTTTTTGATGAAATTTGGTATGGATGAACTAGACTTGATGAGGAACATACACAAAAAATTTGAGCAAAAAATACCACCGGGAAGGCCCCCAAAAGGAGGAGGCCAGACGGCGGTTCTTGTCAGGTATACCTGACAGGAACATTAGTGTGTGTGTGTATATATATATATATATATATATATATATAGGAAAAAGATCATGTCCATCCGGATGGATAGGAGCCTCCGTCCGGCCGAATAGGAGCCTCCGTCCGGCCGAGGCCATCAGAGACCCTTCCCGATGGAATTTTTTGATGAAATTTTTTGAGCATGTTCTTTATGAAGTCTAGTTTATCCATACCAAATTTCAGCTAAAAATTCAATGTCGTGTGGTGACTATCATGAAGTCTGTCTTTTCTGTGAGTATCCCTTTTTACTACTTGTACATGCTAATAATTTTAATGTCGTGTGGTGATTATCGTAAGTCCCGTAGTTCAGTTTGCTTGAGGACAAACAATGGCGGGATAGAAGGGAGGACAGACGGGAGAAATTATAAGATGACGATTAAATGTGGAAATGAGAGGACGGGAGACAAATAGAGTTTATAAATTAATTATTTGATGATTTGGACTGCAACTATATCATACAAACAGATAGTTTGGCTAGATCAGCTATTTTAATGTTCTAACAGAGCAAATATACTTGATCTAAGTGCAAGTTCATGTATGTTGTAGTTTCAAGTGTAGATGAGGTACTAATTACTCCCTTCGAAACAACTTCATGTACCGTTATGACCATTTTCTCTATTCCAAATGGTTAATTAGACATAATCACTAACATTTTTCTTGGAAATGGTTTTCAATCCAGATCGACACTTTAATTATGCTGTGTGAAGAGGGGTAATGGCCGGTAATTTGAAGCAACGTCATAATTACGTAGGTATGTGAGTGCGTAGGAATGTGTTTCTTCTCCTTTAATTCAATGGCGTGAGTGAATACGTACGTATATTGAATTGGCTGGAAAGGCGATAGCGCCATTCTTTGGTCAATAAGCTTGGACTTGTATGTATAAAAGCTAGCACGCTGCAAACTACGAGTAATAAATTAAAACATAGATCTGTGCTGATCGATCGGCAGAAAGGTTTGGAAGCTGAATTAAAGGTGCAGCGCAGCCGGCTGAGATCAGCAGATATGATGGGGCGTTTCTTTTCCGGGCAAGCGGTCACGGCGGCCGGCGGCAGCTTGCTGCTTCTTTTGTTTGCCGCCGCCTTTGCTGTTAGGACGGAGGGTCTGGATCAGACCGACCTTGAGTCCATTGAATACAATGTAATGATGGAGCTGAAGAGTAGTCTTACGTTCCCGGCCGGAGTAGAGTCCCAATGGAATAATTGGACTGATCCCGATCCGTGCAACTGGTCCGGTGTGTTGTGTTCGGATAGACCGGACCTGAATAATTACTCTTCTGTCTTCGTTATCAATATTGGGGGTTTGGGTATCAGTGGGACTCTGCCGGGAAGCCTGGGAAACCTCACCGGGTTGTTCAGGTTCTATGCCGCCGGCAACCGCCTCACCGGCCCACTTCCGGACTTTTCCGGGTGCTCAAATCTCGGCGTGCTCAATGTTGCCCGCAATCTGTTCACTTCAATCCCGCCAACTCTGTTCCACGACAAGACTGAACTCCGATGGCTTCGTCTAGATCACAACATTTTGCTTCAGCCCTGGAAAATTCCTGAAGATCTGAGCTCCTCTTCACGACTTGTCATTTTCACCGCCGCCGATTGCAACATTTATGGGGACTTCCCCAGCTTCATTAACGACCAAACTTTCCCCAACTTAAAGAACCTCCAATTGGGGAACAACCATTTGTCAGGGAACCTCCCTCCCACCTTGCCCCAATATTTGGAGACTCTGTTGTTGAGTAACCAAACCGGGACGGCCGACTCAGGTTTGTACGGCAGCATCTCCGCCATACAGAACCTGACCAGGCTTACCAAACTCTACCTGCAGAGGAACAATTTTTCCGGCGAAATACCCGATGTGTCCCGCCTCCAGTCATTGACAGAATTCATCCTCAGTCAAAACAGTCTTACTGGTCCAATGCCAAAGTCATTGGCAGGAATCTCTTCACTAAAAGTAGTGAGTCTGTTCAACAATAACCTGAATGGCACCGTCCCTCATTTTAATGACACTGTCATAGTGATTACATGTGGGAATCCAGGTTTAGCTGACCAAAGAGGGCTTCCATGCTAGCTACTACATGTGGGAATCCAGGTTCACCGCAAGCCTGCAGCGGATGTCACTATGGCGGGTCTTGTAACTATAAGATAAAGTCACTATAAGGGGATGATTACTTTTTTTTCCCATTAAGTCCTGTCTGGATTAAGTGACATTGTGATATCAAGTTGTTTACTATGTGTGCTGAATGTGTAGTCTGAATTATATTAAATGACCAATTTACCATGTACTGCATTATGTTTAGTTTTGCTATTCTCAATGATGTTCTGGTTGCGTATGTATAAGTAATCTGATGTGTGTGAACAAAGTATGAATTTTAACTTCTTTGTGTTTGCAATTCCCAAAGGCAATGAACTCTCTGTTTGCAATTCGTAGTTGCTCTCCATCTACAATTATTCTTCATTTGTAAATCTAATCCCTAAGCAAGTAAACTTTTTGCTTTGAGAAAACCTTAAGCCACTATATTTAAATTTCAAAATCAAAATGTAAGGTATCTCCGTATCTGATGCATCGTGGTCTTCAATGACTTAGCTAAAAAATCGATTGTAGTTTCACAATTCTAAAGTAAGGTGCCGACATATACAAAGCAATTTTATGAGAATCGAAAGTAGATTATTCAGGAAGAGAATAATTAGATCGGGAACAAGGAGAAGAGATGCAATTTAAAAAGAATAAAATATAAAACAATTATAAATCAAGAGAAAACACCAAGATGAGAAGAAGGTAGGGAATGAGATCCACTTCGCTTCTTTCGTGATGGCTCCATCACTCCATGGGCAGTCCGATGGGGGTAGTTCGCAGGGTTGTCCAGCGAATGGTGATGCGTGCGATGAAATAAAAGAACGGAGAAGCAGGGTTAGAAAAGATACTCCCCACACACCTATAGCCCTATAGGTCTGAATCGGAAGCAGTGCTAAAACTGAGCTGACCAAATAAGTCATGAAATGTCTGTGCGAATAAGTCACTGTCTTTTAAAAAGTCCTAAGTAAACATCACCATATAGCTGAATGATTAATTCACACTATCCATTAAGCTCATTAAGTCACAGGTAAATAGGCCCTAAATTAGGGATAATTTAGTAAGTTTAAAACTTATTAGTTGCATTTGTGGAAATTAAATTTAAAGAAGAGTTCACTTTTTTGTCAATCACCTACATTTTAGTAATATTAAAGTCAAAACCCCTTCTATATTTTATTTATTAATGTACTAGTATAGTACCCGTGCATGCACACAACAAAGAGCAGTTGGTGCATATATTTTTACTCATGATATAATTAAAATATTAACATAACAACAACTTATTAGGATTTTACAATTGTGAAAAATAAGAGTTCAATAGGTTAATACCATAAAGTATAAGACCATACAATATATATTCAATGAATAGCATATTAGGAAAAATTAATTTACACCACTCATTAGAATTTACTACTTATTAATTGTTATGATTAGACTTAATTAGGGGTGGGGAAAAATACCGAAATTTCGGTATACCGGACTTACCATATCGAAAAATACCGAATTTACCGAAATGGTTGGTATACCGACACTTTCGGTACGGTATGATACCGTACCGAATTACTTCGGTATGGTATCGGTATATATTTTGAAAATAAACGGTACACCGGTATACCGTCATACCGTAATTTCAAGCCAATAATTTTTTTAAAATTATAAAAATAACTAGAAACACACACATTAATTCAAGGATAAATGACTTTATATCCATGTTTCTTGAATTATTTATACTTTTTGTTGGCAAGCGGTGTTTTTTTAATTATATTTATGTTGTTTAAATTATTTTAGCAGAATGTGATGTTATCTTCATATATTATGTGTCGAAATATCTAAATATATTTATAATATTTTTTGTTCAAAGTTGAATAGAACCCTAATATGTTATCATTGGCAATTTACAAATAATTTCATTGATGATTTTCCTATATCATTATTAACAAATATTTTCTATATTTTATTTGACATATAATAATTTGTTATGTTAAATCATGATAATTTACCGATACCGTATCTTACCGTGCCGAAATTTCGGTATGGTAATGGTATGCATTTTTGCATACCGAAAATTTACGGTATGGTAAAGGTATGAGCTAAAATATTCGGTATACCGTACCGAACCACCCCTAGACTTAATACTTTTTATGCTAATTTATAATTAGAATTAATTTAGCCGAATACTCTTGAATGGCATATTAGGGGTTGAAGATCCGGACAATATCTCTCTCCAATAACAAAGTCTGGTACAAATAAAATTTTCATAAACTTCCATTTTGAGTTTTAGGGTATGTTTGGCACAACTAGCTGAAAAGATACTTTTGTGAGCTTTTTAGTAACTGTTAGCTTTTAGTGACTGAAAAGATCTTAAAAAGAAAAGGTGATAGCTGTTTGGTAAAAAGCTGACTGTTTGATTTAGTTCGGTTTGGTATACAAGCTGTTAGAACTAATTAATACTAAAAGTCACGAGCTTTTCTCTGATGCTACACCCGGTAGCATCTCAAAAAAGATCTTTTAATTTTTGAAAAGCTCTTAAAAATGTCATGTCAAACATAAAACTAGAGTCTTTTAAGGTCTTTTTAAAGAAAAGAGAAGTTAAAAGGCAGAGGCTTTTGTGTGCCAAACATGGCCTTAAACGATGTTGAAAAAATATCTAATTTAAATAGTAATCCATCTTTGCCGAGTATGTTGCAGTTCGTATACCATGCAACCGTCCCACGGTGCGCATGGTATACCTGGGAGAGTGAAGAAGCAGTTCGTATATTTTGGCTTTGTTATTTTTTATTTCTCCTTTTTTTAAAAATGTTAATAATTTTTTTATTTTTGATCCGATTTTTATAAAATTTATATCAAAATTTTTTATTTTTCATGATCTTTCAAATGAGACCAATATTGCCTATGTAATTTTAACATATTAACATTTGCGTGTAAAAATATGTAACTTTACGTGTTAAAATATGTAACTCACGTTCAGTCAGGCCAAATGCAACTCGTGTGTATAAATATGTAACTCTACGTGTAAAAATATGTAACTTTACGTAAAAAAAAAATATGTAAATCGCGTTGAGACAGGTCAAACGCAACTCGTGTGTATAAATATGTAACTCGCGTGTATAAATATGTAACTTTACGTGTAAAAATATGTAACTCGCGTTTAGGCAGGTCAAATATGTAACTCACGTGTAGAAATATGTAAATTTAGGTGTAAAAATATGCAACTTCACGTATAAAAATATGTAACTCACATGTATAAATACATAATACAATAAATTTTTTATATACACAATTTTAAGATAAATTGTGGATTACACAATTATTTTTCTGTATTAAATTTAGTTCAATTTTCCTTATAATCCAATACTCATTAATATAATAGTTCGATAATTTCTTAAAATTACATAAGAAATATTGGTCTCATTTGAAAGATCATGAAAAATAAAAAATGTTGATATAAATTTTATAAAAATCAGATCAAAAATAAAAAAGTTATTACCATTTTTTAACAACAAAAGCAATAAAAATAAAGAAACTAGGCACAATACTCCGTCGTTTTGCAACCGGGCGCACCATCCTCATGATGCGCCGGTTGCACGATATAATTTGCGAGTATGTTGGGGTCTTCATATAGGAGGTGATAATTGAGTACTTGGATTTCTTAAGGATCGTGTAAATTCACTTTCCAATCATGCAACGGAAATTGATCAGCGGTGGTCACTGTGATCGACAGTGATCACTATAGCCTCCCTAGTGATTATGGTCGGCGGTGATCATTGTGATCGTCATGGTCACTGTTGCCGGGAGTGGCCACTGTGACCACAGTCACTAACAGGTGGTGATCACAGTTCGACAAACAGTGATCACTGTCCGACGGTGGTCACTGACATGTGGTGATCAGTGTTCGACAATGGACATTATTACCAACACTAATTATTGATCGACGGTGATTACAGTGGTTACTAGTGGTCAGCGATCGACGATTGGCCAATGAGGCGTTTGGTCATGATTGCTGGATAGCAATCACTTTGATTTAAATAAAGGGTATATAAGTCACCTTAGTCTTATTTCTTTTTAAATTACTCCAAATTTGTCTATTGCATTTCTTTTAGTAGGTTTTTTTTTTTTTGGGAAACACTCCATAAATAATGGAGAGACATATTATAATTTTATTCAACGACTTCCCATTCAGTTAATAATTCTTTTAAAATATGTTACTCACAGTTTGAAATGAAATTTGTTTATAAAAAAATGACTAATAATTGCTAAAGTATAATCTCATAATATAGTCACGTAAGTGTACAAGTTGAATATAAGTTAATATCGCTCGGAAGAAGATTAAATGTTTTATTTTCCAATGATAAATGGGGGAGGGGATTGGAATTGATTCTTCCGCTTCATTTTTAAAAAGCAGAATCAGTATTAGATTTTTAGAAGTTGGTATCGCTCAACTTCTAAAAAATGCTTCTATGAGCAATTTGAAGTACCAATAGTATTTATGCAATTTCACCAAAACACTGCAATATCCACTCCTGCTCTCTTAAAGAGAAAAAGTACTTTAAAAAAATAGGTGTAAACACTCTCTCATTGAAAGGAAACAACTAATATTCCAAAACAATACCAAAGGCCTTCGGGCCCCTCACGTCATGATCAGACATAGAATAGTCTATCCCAGATAAAGTGAGACTAATCAATAAAACGGTAAGAGCAAAGAGGTTATTACTTATTAGTGGTCGAGTCGGTCTAATTGCCCCCAACAGAAACCCATCTAATGAAATAAACCAAACAACAACCCTACCCCCTTAGTGTTCAAAATAACGATAACAATAGAGTTCATAATTAAAAAACTCAAAACGAGTAAAACAAAATTAAATAAAATAAACTGATGGAGCAACTGAATCCATACTTTAAGCGTCATCCTCCATGGCGGCGGTTCAAAAGGGGGACTGATCATCAATACTTCATCTTCTTTCTCCATCACCTGATTGAGCAACCAAATCCATACTTTAAGCGTCATCCTCCATTATGGCGGTTCAAAGGCTTCCACTCAATCTCTTAATATGGTCCGCTTGTAAAAGACCACCGCCACAAGGCCTAAATTTTACCGATCTGCCACAAGTCTTTCCCTGCGCCCTTCTCTTGCTTTTGTCTTCCTCCTCAGTGTGCAGAACCTCCTCACTCGCTCACCACCCTTGCCACAGACGAAACTGCACTCCCAAAGAATTAACAAATCTATGCTACGGAATTCTAGAACGTAAGTGATGGTCTCCACTGAAACGCCAAACACCATGGTAGTTCGCCGCGCGCCTTGCTCTCCACGCAAGTCTAACCCACGATAGTAACCTTCGGGACAAGGACCGCCAT